CCCCTGTGATTTCCCCAAATGTGGGAAAATCAACTGCCTAAGTGGGGGACTGTGTTTGTGGTTTCCCCTGTTCTTTCTAGAATTATTCTTTCCCCTTTGGTCCTTGGCTATTTTCACTACCTGCTACCATAGGCCTGTTAGCCTTGCTGGTTTTCCAGGTGAGCTGCAGGAAGCAGATCCTGGAAAGCCAACAGTGCAGAATGGTGAGGTCCAAACAGCAAGCAGTCTCTGGTGCTAGTTCAGAGGCCTCCCAGCATGGCAGTAGGGGGCTTCTGGGTGGTGGTGGTTGAACCCCCTTTTACTGTATTCATTCCATAAGACGCACATACTTTCTCCCCCACTATTTGGGGGAGGGGAAGTGTGTCTTATGGAGCAAAAAATATGGTATATCTTCACATCCATATTCTGGGATGATGAAGAAATTCTCTCTTGTTGACAGCTGTTGAAGTCAAGGAGCAAAATGTGAACCGTATTTTTCTTACAGCAAGATTAATCTGGCATTCCCTGTTCAAGAAACGTTTGAGGAGTTCCAGGGGAAAGACAAAATTTCAAAATGTCTCTGAGGTTGCTCATTTCTGCAACTGATCTTGGCGTGCTAATGCTAATGTTGAATAGTATTTGGACTGCAGATGGAAGATGTTATTCCCCATGCCTAGATTCTCAACAGGCCAAGACTTTTGTGTGACAGCAGTTAGCTCACGACACCATTTTAATCAGTCTGCACAGTCCCAGGATGCCCTCAGAATTCTGGCTTCTCAGGGCAGTGTATTCGAAAGCCTCAAAGCAGCAGCTATTATTGTTATTGTTGTTGTTATTACATATGTGGTTTTCCATTACCGTTAGGTAGACCATCATATCAAATATGGGAGGAAATGCAAAAGCTTAATAATGTGTTGGACATGTAATAACAGAGTTAAAAATAGACCTGTGAAGTACATGAATGACATATCTTTCTTGACAAGATTTCAGACCATGCCACCATATGTTCTTTGTAAAGAGATTTGCAAATTAATCTTTATTTGGCAGCTTTTTAGCTTTTTACCCCTTTAATATGCACATCATGACAAGTGTACAATGATCAATAAACAACTGTGTCAAACAAGGTTATTCCATGAGCCTCTGCAGGCTCAGTGCTGATTAACTTCGAAGATCAGATGTAATGCAGTGGTCATAGATACAAGGTTATCGAAAGGACCAAGGAAAATAAAGGAGTTTGTAAACAATAAAGCAGAACTGAAGTTATTTGGCTGCAGAACAATTTGCAGTAACAGAATTGCAATATGATTTTGCAAAATGCTTCTGTAGTTCTTCTGTTTTCTTGCCTTGTTTCCTTTCATAATAATAATAATTATTATTATTCATTACCCTTTTGCCTTTGTAAGAAGCCAAGCTGAAGTGTAAGTTTTCCAGACCTCCACCCTACACCCAGCATTAAGGTTCTGCATAGCTGGACACCTGATGTAAACTCAGTTTCCAGCAGAAGCTGTAATCCTGTTACACAGTTATACAAAATGCATAACTTTTAGACGTGAATTGCCTCAAGTTAAGAAATGTTGGGCATGTTTTGCGCAGCTCCTCTTTCAACAGATAAACTTTGGAGATTTCTTAATGTGCAACAATAATGTTCCCCTGATTTTGCCCTTTGGTAAACTTACTGTACATCTATAAATACTGTATTGGAATGCTTGAGAAACCACTCTCTTCCCATCATAGCAAACATTGTTTTACACTATTTTGAACAACAAAGGTTCCTTTTGAAAGGTTGCACATGCACCAGAGTGTTGTTTTGTTTTGTTTTGTTTTTGGCAGTCAAATACTTCCCAGATCAAACTTCAGTAAGTCAGTGAACCTGTTCTTCCATTGACCCTCTTAGCCTTTCTAAAAATACTGTATCCCCCAACAAGACACTATTTTAAGACAGTCATAGGCATGGGTATACCCATGGGAGGCTTACTTTTGGCATGTGTGCATGTGTCAGTTTCATATGGCATGCATACCTACCACTCTGTACTTTTGTATTAGAAGCCACACTATACAGAGACTAAAGAGAGAGCTTCTGAATTTGGGGACCACAAGCTATGGAATCTGTATACTAAGATGAAAAATGTAGGGGGAAAGATAATTCTCTTTTTGAAATGTTAATGTGTATATCTGAAATAATTCCTTACAGACATCAGTATCTCAGCTTATTGGCTGTGATTTCTCTCTAGGGACCTTAATGATCTTGCCACTTTCAATAAATATTTATAGAAATTCAGCCAGTTTGTGGCTAAGGAAACCTATATGAAAGACTTTATCTTTCCAAAATACTGAAAGGCACCAAGGGGCGGTGGGGGGGCAGGAAAGAGACCCCTCACCAGAAGACAAATAGAAGCTGTCAAGATGTAGCATTCAATTGATAACTGAATTGAATTACAGTGCAAAGCCTTTGAACTACAAGACATGATTTTGGCATTTTTGGTTCTTTTATTTTGGAAAAAAATGCAAATGGAATGGGACCAATAAAATAATGGCTGAGAAAACAAAGAAACTTTAAGAGTCAAGATGGAACTTAAGACAATAAACATTCAACGCTCCTGTCATCTAGGAACAGAAGTACATGGTACTCATGTATGCACCTCTAAGAAATTTCCATTTTTTCGCATTAAAAAATCCAGATATGAAGCCGAAGCTGCCTTCTTTGCCAATCTGAAACTGTCTGACTTCAACATCATTGACACTCTTGGAGTTGGAGGTTTTGGAAGAGTTGAGCTGGTAGGTAACAGCTTTTTCCTTCTTTTCCTTCTTTAAGTATTTTGAGTCTATGCTTTTTGGATTTACTTGTTGAGAGAAGGTATTGGGAATTTTTTAAAAAAGAAAAATATTATTGAAGGGAGGAACGTTTGTAAAGAAAATGGTCAGTAAAATAATCGTAATGAACTTAGCAATCACTGAAAAATAAATTTGAATAACCACTTGCACTATTTTGATAAGTCAGAATTTATCTGTCATCAGTATGGTCTTTTATTTATGCCAGAATTAGCAAGATTAAAGAATTACACACACAATCTCTGATGTGATTTAATAGGAAAGACAATGTTGTATTTTACTTATATTTGCTCTGTTCTTTATCAAAATAATAATTTAGTGGTTTATAACAGAATTATGAAATTGGTAAAGTAATTCTTCTAAGGGACTGCTGATGTTTTAGTGTCATTTTAATTTGCTATGTTTAATCTATTTACCATATCTTGCATTATATCTTTTCTATGTTTTAAGCAACCCTGATGATATAAGCTTATTGTGAAGGTGCCTGATATAAATTACACAGATAAATCAATTATGTATCTAACATGTTACAGACATACACACACACAGTTGTCTGTCTGTCTGTCTGTCTGTCTGTCTGTCTGTCTGTCTGTCTGTCTGTCTGTCTGTCTGTCTGTCTGTCTGTCTGTAAATCACTATGGAATCTCTTCTGTTTGCATGTATCAAAATATACATGTGAAATATTATTAGTTGATGACTCCTTTGTGAGATCTTCGACTCCCTGATACGTGATACCTGTGAGACTCTTAAAGGAGTTCCTAAGTTATGTACAGAGCAATAAATAAGTTTATGCTGCCCTTGCAAAAATAAAGGGATATCCCTTCCATGAAAGTAAGGCAAGCAAGCTGTCATGTTTCTAATGTCTCCTCGGGACATGTACTGATTGGTAGATGGAGACTCGGATATGCACATCTAGTGTGTCCACAATTACTTGTAGAGTTTACACAAACATGAGCCATGAGCCAATGAACTTCGTAAAGGTCACAATCTCAAATAAAACTTGTAAATTGGGAAGTAAGCTTATGAAAGTATGGGTTTCTTCCAATTAAAAAAGCATAAGTAATGAATAAGCCACGATTCTTCAGGGAATGGACAAGAGTTTCAGAATAGCACCAGGGACTGCTGTGTAGATGAAAAAGTAAAATAAATGAATCAGTAAATCAGTAAGTCTATTACATGTCTCCTACCTCAGTTAGGAAAAATCCCAACCAATCTCCAGCATAGCCTGATCTTTTTCTCCCCAGATTTCCTCATCAAAACCTTTCATACCCAAATGTCTGTGAATTTAAAGAGCAACTGAAGATTTGAAAATTTTGGTTTGAAAATTTGAAGCACATGAAGAATTTTAAAAGCAGTTGAATTGAGTGTTTCACGTAAAATGAAATATGTTAAGCCAAATCTGAATAGATTCACACACATGGGATCCCTGCTGGGCAGAAAGGCAATGATTAAGTGTTTCAAACAAATGTGATAGCTATCCAGAAAGATAGCTAGAACATTGCAGTCATTAGTTTACATGTAACCAGTAGCATTTCATTTCTATTTGCTGCTTGTTTCATATTTAGAAATAATGTGCTATTGGCAAAGTACTCAAATGTTATAATATATCACCATATCACACAAGAGTGAAATGTATAGCTATAGATTTCATATCTCTGGAAGAACACAGATCAAGTAGAAAGCGTTCCTTAAATGTTATTTATAGCACAGTCTTAATTTTTATGTTGAAAGTTCTCCCATCCCCAAGGTGTGACTTTGTATCAGGTAATCGGTTGTGTGGCTGTAAACTGTGATTCAGAGCTGGTATTTGTTTGCTAACCCTCAAGAATGCATTTATGATTCAAATGTGGTTTGCAGGAGTACACGGACTGTGCTCCAGACACCCCTGTGAGTGTGGATTGTTTTGAGAATGCATTCCTGATCCAATTTAGATGCAGACACATGTCCATTAAATGAGACCAACATTTATTTTAATAATTGTCAATTCTGGAAAGATTAGTGTGACATTTGAGGAGATTTTGAAGTTTTCCTTCGCAGGAAAAAAACACTGCATCACAATAAGCCACATCATAACAACCTATGCAGTGAAAAATGTGAGCTGTCATAGGCAGTAATGGGGTCTTCTCCTGTGTAATTTGATTGTCTCTAAGTTAATAGACATTTCCAGAAGAGTTGTATTATTATTCATAGAGTTTCCTGGATTTTGAAAGAAATCTAACCTTAGTCTCAATCATGCATTCTCCATGGATATTATTTTTGTCCTTTTTTTCTGCACCAATGACTGACAATATCCATAAGGATTTTATAGAAACTGATAGAAATAAACTTTTTTTTTAATTTTCTGGCAAGGAATGTAAAGGACTCACAATTTGGATTTGGAATCTGAGGAATGATGAACCCTCATCCACACAATATAGCTCCAGGAGATAAATTGCTACTATAAATGAAATATAATTTTTATTCTTGCTTCTATTTCCGTCTCCTCTTTAGTTAAATCCCATTTCTTATTTGCAAGATCTGTGGAGATGGATCCAGGGGACAGTAAAGAAGGAAAACTGCTTAGACTCAATAGCCATAAGAGAATAAGATGGAATGCAGTATTTCCCCCTTTTCGGTCCAAAGGGTAACCTTCATCGAGTTCCCCTTAGAACCTGATCCATGTGGTGCTGGAAGGAGTTTGCATATCAAGATAAGCCATCTTAAATATTAACTGTGGTTTGCTGCTGAACCATGAATCTGCTGCCAGCATCATATGATACTATTTATCATGGTTTCCTTTCAGGCTATTTAGGTGATTCAGGACTTGGGGTGAGGAGGAGGCATTTTACAGAGGATCTAGACCTTTTTTTTTAATTGAATGCTTTTGGAATATGGCACTGAGTGATTAGTCTTAATCCTCGTGACAATTAATTTGTAAGGATAATCAGAATTCAATATGCTTCAACAGTCACGTGAAACTTCTAAAATAAGTCATTTGGAGTTTTCAGGTTGAGTCCTAGCTCAATGTCTTCTTTTCAGTGAATGACAAGGAAGTGGTTAAAGTATTGAATTGCTGCCTGGATGCAGTGAGGGACTGGGTGTGGGTAAACCAATTGAGATTCTGTCCAAGAAGACAAAGTTCTGTTGGTCAACAGAAAAATCCTGCTTTGGGTGCAAAACCTGATCCTCCTTCTGAAGGTTTGCAGGTTTGCAGTTTGGAGGTGCTGTTAGACTTTTTGCTGTCCCTTGAGGGCTGCTGTGGCCAGGAGCACCCAGCTTCATTTGATAGAACGTCTGTCCTACATCCTAAGGAAGGTGGATTTGGCCACAGCGATCCATATCATAAGTATCTGTCAATCTGAGTACTGAAATATATTCTTTATGTGATTGCTCTGTATAGGTATTTGAAAGCTACTACTATAGTTTTTTAAAAAAAGACTGATCAGAAAGTTACTGGTATGCACTTTAGAACCCTTATAGTTCAACTTTGAACAGCACTGGCTTCTGGTTTGCTTCCTAGCTCAATTCAAGGTGCTAATTTTGATTTAATAATAATAGTTATGTGTTATCAAGTCAGTTCTGACCTATGGTAACCCTTTCCAAGGTTTTCTAGGTATAGTCTTAGTCTAAGTGGTTTACCCTTCCCTTCTTCTGGGGGCATCTAGGGACCATGCAGGTTACTCAAGGCTGCACAGCTCATTCTTCTCTTGGGATGCACAGTGGGGAATTGAACTTCCAACCTCTGGCTGCACAAGCAGGTAATTAATTCACTGAGCTACCCAGCAAGCTAATAACAAAGCCCTAAATCATGTAGGCCCATGGTATTTGAAAGACCACTTTCCGCCATTTGAACTTGGCCAGAATCTGAGACCTTCACTGGGACCCTGTCCTGAGCCACCCCAAGAGGGAGTTGATAAGTACTGTACATAAGACAAGGACTTCATCTCTACCATCACTTTGCTTGGGGGAGCTAGCTATGCTAATTCCATCCTAGCTTAAGGATAGTGGTGACAAGCTTTATAAGATCAAAGAAAGTACTCTTATCCTTTTAAAAAGACAAAATAATTCATCCTTTTAGCTTCTCTTATCCTCAGTTTATTGTTATTTATCTAAGTGCTCTTAGGATGATATGGAGGTAGGTCATTGGGGTTTTTTAAATTGCAACATAAACATGGATGCTTCCCACAACACACCAGTCAAACCATTGGAATACCCAGAATTAGCACTGTAGCTCTCAACTGAATCTGCCAAGTAGAGGCTATTCCAAGCAATGTCTGTTTCATGTATGTCCAAAAATGAAATAAAACAAAGTAATATAAGATAGCCCAGTGCTCTGTTATAATAGAAACAGCTCCACAGAAATAAAACTGGCTATTATTGAATGTTGACCAAGGCATGATTTACACATTACCTTCCCTGTGGAAGCCTATTTTCACACAGTGACTTTTAACAGTATGCCTGGCAATAATAATACCTAGACCATTATATATTTTGAATGTTCCTCACTGTGTAAAGTTGATACATTAGTAAAGCAAAAAGGGTACACCATCTGCCTGTGTAGATGGTAACTCAAGATCTAAAATGAAATGAATCTTCTACCTGGACTATCCACGGAAGACAACAATCAAGAGTGAAAGGTGTGGGCAAATGTCAGAAGGGAGCCGGGAGCTGGGTATTATGATTGAAGATTTGTGGCAGGCATAGAGGGTTGAAGACAGGATACAGAACCAAAGACACCAGAGAAGGTTGGTGGTACTCAACTGAAGTCCCAATCTAACTAGATATATTTTATAGCTTTTAAAGAGGGTCTGTCTTTTGAAGACAGCCCTGGTCAGAATGATTTCCAGTGCATTTTTCTCACAGCATCATCATGCTGTGTTCACTGAAGGTTTTGCATGTTATCCTCTACTCATGCAAGTTATTTCACTTTTTTTCTTACCGCAGAAAATCAGTAAAGGAGACAACAA